TCCAGAGTCATTATTCTTTTAGTATACTTTCCTCCTTTTTCTATTTCTGTTTGCTCTCTAGGCCTACCGTAGAGATGTCCTGAAATTTCCTTTTATCGTTGTCCTTGGATTCCCTTTTCTTCTATGTAGGATCCCCTGTTTACTAGATCACATGTGTTAGTCTTTCTTGATTTATTCTCTCTTTTTTGTGGAGCAGAATCTTCTAGTTATCTTTCTAGCATAGGAAGTAAACTTTTTTCAGATCTAGCATGTCTGAATGAATCTTTATTTTACCTTTATATGTGATTGATTGATTGATTGGCTTTGTATAGATTTTTAGGTTGTGAGTCATTTTCTCACAGAATTTAAAAGCATTGCTTTATTGTCTTCTTTCTTTTGGTATCGCTGTTGAGAAGTTTGACACCATTTTAATTGTTTAGTCTTTGTAAGTTACCTATTTTTGTTTTTATGTGTCTTTTTTTTTCTTTTTTTTTAATCCTGAAAACTTTCTGGAGCTTCTCTTTAGCCCTAATATTCAGGTGGTATGTGTTTATGTGTGTGTGTTTTTGTGTTTATGTGTGGTGGGTATATGGTAGACCTTTCAAAATTGGAACTTCCATTTTTCAGTTTTGGGAAATATTCTTGAATTATTTCTTTGATTATTTTCATTTTAATAGTTCTTTCTAGAGCATTTGGTTTTCAGATATTGGATTGTTTAAGGTGATCCTTTCATTTTACTGTCATTTGTCTCCCAATTTCAATCTCTTTGGATTTTTTTTTTTTCCTTTTTGTCTTTTTTCGTGTCCAGCAATGGATCGCAACCCTCAGTGTCGCGCCTGTACCGGACTGGGACTGGCAACGGGATCGCAACCCTCGGTGTCGTGCCCGCACCTCGCTCAGCCAGTGAGCGGGAACCGGTCTGTTTGTGGGATCCGAACCCTTGGCGGGAGCGCCGCCGCGCTCCCAAGCGGTGCACTGTAGCAGTGCGCCACCGGGCCGGCCCTCTTTGGATTTTTTTGTATTTTAATTTATGGGAGGTTTTCTCAACTTTGTTTTTCATTCTTTCTCTTAATTTAAGGAGAAATAACATGTTTTTTAATTTCTACGAGCTCTTTTTTGTTCTTTGAGAATTTCAAATAAACTTCCATTCTTGTTGCAGTATCTTCTGTACTCTCTGAAAATAGGAGTTAGTATTAGTTCTTGAAGTTTTCTTCTGCTCCCTGCATTGTATGTTTGCCCTGTTTCTTTTCTCTGTGTTTTTGAAAATTCTCTGCCTGATACATTAGTGACTTCCATCTAATATTTGATGATTCTTCATATTGTGGAATAAAGTACTAAATAACCAATTGGAACTTCTGTATGAGGTTGGAACTTGCTTAATGTCTGGTGTCACTGTAGGAGAGAATTGGATACAACTCATTTTTTATTGATAGATAATTATCAGTATCTCTGGTTCCTTTTTCTTGGGATGGTCAGTTTGCACATAGAGAAGTCCTTCCATCTTTCTGCTTGTGTTATAAGCCTGGCACTCAGAGTTCTTAGAGAGTAATAGAATGGGAGATCTCATTCAGTTTGTATACTCTATACAGATTTTTAGATAATTCCCCATGTTTAGCATGCATCCTTTTGGGGGGGGGGGGTTGTATTTCATATTCCTTACTCCAGAGTCCTGCTGGTTCAACCTTTCCAAAGTGAACCCTTCTGTCTTCTGCAGGATGAGTGTGGGGTAATTGCTTGTCTACATGAATTAAGAGAAAGAACCTGTGGTCATTAGATAGACTTGCAGTCATTCCTCATCTTTTTAGCCTCATATGCATTTCTACCTGTGAAATGCCTGCTTTCTTTACTTTTTATCTTTCTAGGGCTTATTGAAGATCGACTTGCTTCTTGGTTTAATCACCTGTAGGCACTTTTCTCTGTTTTACTACTATACTTGTTGCTACTTGATCATCACATATCCATCTTCCAAAATGCTAATGACAGCTCTTGCCTCTTTGAGAACTGTCCATTCAGCTTTTGTCTTTTCATTTTCATTTCCTCATTAGTTTAGGGCCCTAAAAAATTTCTTAACAGTAGAGTTCAAGGGGGCAACAGAGATAAACATATAGTTTGACTCCTTAATCTTGTTTTTCCACAGAGATAGATCGGTCATTCTCAGTTTATCTTTCAATTTATAGATGATAATTATAGGAGAAATCATAAGTTGGTTACTGAACACTGGAGAGTTGATACTCAGGGAAAGGTCTAAGTAAGGCTGGAAGAACTATGGCAGGACAGAAAGTTGGTGGAGAAAAAATTAGGGTTAATGGTATACCACAGGACTAAGAATACATGTTAGGAGTTATTTTTCACAAAAGTACTAGAAGGAGAAGAAATAGCAGTGCATTATTTTATATTTAATTATATTACAAACATTTATAATTAGCTTTAGATTATTTTGTTGGTAGTACAATGTAAAAATTGTATTATAGTTGGAGTGCCTTAAGGATTCCCTCTTCCCTTCCTCTAGTGGAGTGTGACAGCAGCATTTCAGTCAATGTGTGTAAGAAGATTCATCTTGATGTGTGTCAGCTGTCTGCACATGTTGTCAAAATCTTGAACACCCTCCCTAAATTAAGTTCTGTATGACGTTCAGCTGAGTTCTCAGAATTAAGTACATTGAACAATAACTACAATTATTTTGACCTCCACAAGTAACAATAATAAGTAGTGATTTGTCTTAAGCCATGTAATGACAGGGCAAGTGATGCTGCCTATATCCGAAGCCACGTTTATTTAGCCTCAGATATTTTGCTCTTTTTGTTTTACATGTTGCTTCCCTAACAGGAGATTTCCTTTCACAATTTCAGAGAGTAGCATTCATGTAAAACACAATGTGAATAGTGTTCAAGAAAATTTTGTGTCTCTAGGCCTTCATTTTTCTGCATGTAAGATGGAAATAGGAACAGCTACCTCAGTTTTTATGTGTGTGACAAGTAAATAAAGTAAACTAGGCATAGTGCGTGGATCTCAGTATGTGCTCAGTGATTGTTAGGTGCTACTTATAGTACTACTACTTATAGTACTTCTAGTACTAATATTACTACCACTATCACCACCACCACTACCATGATTATATAAGTATTTTTGACATCATTTAATTTTTTGAGACACTACTTAAGTTTTTTGAGTTATGGATTTTAGAATCTCATAAAATTGCCTTAGAAAAATGCATAGATAGGGCTGGCCCGTGGCTCACTCGGGAGAGTGTGGTGTTGATAACACCAAGGCCCCGGGTTCGGATCCCATATAGGGATGGCCGGTTCGCTCACTGGCTGAGCGTGGTGCTGACAGCACCAAGTCAAGGGTTAAGATCCCCTTACCGGTCATCTTTTTAAAAAAAAAAAAAAGAAAAGAAAAATGCATAGATACACAAATAATTGATACACAGTTGTTTAATGACCAAATAGAAATTTGCAAACTAATAGTTCCTTCTTAAGTAAGACTAAGTATGTGAAGTGTTTCTCAAGATGACATCCTCTAACCATTTGCAAATCATTTAGTGTGCTGGTTAAATTACATATTCCTGTGCCACAGCTCAGGAATACTCAATCATAATCTGTTGGAGAAGTTATGGGTGTTCCTGAATACACTAAAATTTGAAATCAAAGATTTTAAGATACTGTTTAATGTATCTTTCATAGAAAGCTTATGGTTTTCTTAATTATTCATACATAAAGAAGTGTCAAATATGAAGGACAGTATATATTTAATCAAAATATAGAATGGGGAAGGGCCGACCCCCTGGCTCACTCAGGAGAGTGCGGCACTGGGAGCGCCGAGGCTGCGGGTTCGGATCCTGTATAGGGATGGCCGGTGCGCTCACTGGCTGAGCGCGGTGCGGGCGACACCAAGCCAAGGATTGCGATCCCCTTACCGGTCACACAAAAAAAAATAAATAAAAAATCGCGGTGCGGGCGACACCAAGCCAAGGATTGCGATCCCCTTACCGGTCACACAAAAAAAAAATAAATAAAAAATATGTGTATATATATATACACACACACACATATACACACACACACACACACACACACACACACACACACATTATAGAATGGGGAAAAGAATAGAAATAATGTTGGTGGGTGCTCATGAATTTAGGCAAAATGCATGGTAAAGTCTTCTGTGGTGGGATCAGGTTGTGTTAAATACTTTAGCTCTTTCACTTACTAACTGTGGTGCTTTGGGCAAAAATTAGTTAACTCCTCCAGTTCTCATGTGTAAAATGAGGATAATAATAATATCTGTATTATATAGGTCTTTAAAAGGGAAAACCACAGTTTGGTCCTGAGGGTGGGTGAGAATTATCAGGAGAAAACCAAGGTGTTTCCCTTCTTAAATTAACTTTTCCCAACCATTTATTTATGGTAATTATTGCCTTCTGTGCTTTTATATCTTTCAGCAAGTAGTACATACTAGAGACAGTAATGTCCATTTTTTTGGTTAATTGATAAAGATCCTTTTGCTTCCTTTTGACAAAATAAAGTCAATTTTGCTTATAAGCTATCGTATTTTAACTTAGGAGACGTTTTGAGCTTTCTTGTTTCTATTACATTACCAAGATATTTTGGGGAGTCTGTTTTACTCAGTTTTCTGTTTAAAAGTCTGTGCCCATATGAAACTCAATTTATAAATTAAATTTGTTTCAGAAAGAAAAATCTTACTCTATATTCTGAAGCCAAACATGATTACTAAAACTGTCTCGTTTTTTAAACAAATATTTGTGAATTTACTTTTATTTCTTGAGCTCAATTAATCAAGACCTGACTGCGTAAGTATAGTTATAAGAGTTCAGCCCATTTATTTTAAAATTGTATCCTTTCACCTCCTAAATACTGAAGTATGAAACCTAACACAAATACTGTAAGAACATCTGAGGTAGATAATTAAAGTATAATTAAGTTTAAATGCCTTGGTGAAGGAATATAAAAATTATTTAAATTCAATCGGCTAGTACATTTGCAGTTTTCTTTTATTAGGTGTGAAATCTAAGAATCCCCTGCCAACTCTTGAGGGCTCAATCCAGAACGTTGAATTGAAGTACTGCAGCACATCATTGGTCAAATGTGCCTCTGGGACCATGGGATCAATAAAAATTTGTGCCAAAGCCCCAGGTATGTGCAGCTGGACCACGTAAAACTTTATTGCCTGTATAGGAGAATTGGCCTTGCATTTTACAAGGAGCGTTACTGAAACAAGAATTTACTCATTGTTCCTATGAATCAGAGATTTTAAATTTTTAAAATTTTTATATGAAAAAGTTTTAATTGTGCCAGGATGATACTTCTTGACTTTAACAAATTAATTTTTATTTAAAGAAAAAAAGCTTTGCATCGTTTAAAGAATTGTTATGAGAGAGAAAAATTAAATGAATGTTTATTTTAGTTTTTGTGGTAATAGGAGGTATAGATATATATATGAGGGGACTTTAAAAAGTTCATGAAAAAATAGAATTAGAAGATAATACTAACCTTTCATGAATTTTTTGAAGTACCATCTTATATGACACTTAAAAATTTAATAAAAATGTTAGTATAATAGAATCAAAAAGAAAACAGCTGTTTTTTAATTTAGGGTTGTAATTGACTTCACCTTTCTACCAGTATTTTATTTTATATTTTCCTTAAGCTATTTGTAATTTTTTTAGTGATTTGTATTTATAATTTAGTGTAAGCAAAATTTCAAGATAAGTTTATAAAGGTGTAGATTCTGTTGAATTTTTGGAAGACAATATATTCAAGTTGTTTTCTTTCATAAGATTTTCTGAACATGTTCTACGTTCATTAGGAAAATGTTAAAATTTAATTTTAAGAGTTAAAAATACTTTTAATTTTATCAGTCAGCCTCCTTAGGGTATAACTAAATGTAGAGCTAAAATTACCAAACATAATTAAAATGTTATTTTATGGTGTTGGAATGTTTTAAGACCAAGCATCCTCAAGCTACTCCTGTATTTTATTTAAAAAAATTTGTTGTTTTTTTTTCCCCATAAATATTTCTATTCAGGTGACAGTGGAAAAGAGAAGTTGATTCCCTTGCTTCAGGGTCCTTCTGACACTAAAGACCTTCACGGCACCAAGTGGCTCAATGAGAGTAGAAAGCCAGAATCTCTCTTAGCTCCAGATTTGATAGCCTTCACAATCCAAGTTCCACAATATATGGACTACTGCCACAATTCTGGTAAGTACAAACGTATCATTATTCCCTTATTTTGCATTTCCTTTTCCAGAAACATTTTTAAAATTGAGAATTTTTTTCGTTTTTGGCAATTTGAATATACTGGGATACTCTCTGCAGTTGGGCTTTTTCAAAGTTCAGATGAAGTATTTTTATATCAATTTTGATCATTGAAATGTGTTTACAAACAATAATTGTTTTTATTTTGTATGAGAGAATTTAGCTGTATGTATAGCACTTAACCTCAGATGCATATCTATATTAGTCCAACTGAGTTTTAAAATGTAACATGCCATGTAAGATGTATTTTCTTGGGATATTAGCACTTTGATTATAACCCACAGTTTACCATATTAAAATTAGGTTTGGGCCTTCTGTAATTTTGTAGAAAGGAAAAGATTTTGATGGTAGAACTAAGAAAAAAGTCAGAGGTTATAATCTCATTTTTTAGAGTTATGTTTTTTTCTGGTAGTACTTTGCTTAGAATTTATTTCATTTTATTCAATGCCATAATAGCAGAGTAATACCTGTCATGTTGAGAATAGATACCAGAACGATCAGTGAAAACTGGGGGGGTGGGGGTG